GCCCTGCTGCTCCTTAAGGCTCCGGCTGAGTTGCAGCGGCCGAAGCCGGAGCGGGCTTCGTTGGGAGCCCGGTGAATCTGCGCCGAAGGAAATATATCGACCCAGGCCGAGTTCTCCCTACGGACTACGCTAAAATAGGGTGGGCTGCTTCGAGATTGGGTATGCTGTACGAACCCAGTCAGCTGAGTTATTTCAGCAAGCCGCGGGCCCAGAGTCTGGGGCGAATACCCATGCAGCAGAACCTGTGGCTGTGTTCACACGACACGCTTGTCCGTGGGTGGCTCAATCCCCTTGTTTGGATTCGCGCGATACGTTGAACCATAAACTAACCCGCGGGCTGGGCGCGCATAGCACGCGAAGCTAACACGTGGTTAGTTAGCCGGACTTCAGCTGTATCGTGCGAATGCAGGCTCTGTAAGGTGGAGGTTTAAGCGGAGCTGCTCCTTGCCTTGGAGTCTTTTGCGTGTCTGCTTAGAAATCAGTCCCTGCAGATGGGTTTGTTTTCATTATATGGCATTCAGCCATGATTTGCAACCGTGGCTTGTCGAAGTAAGCAACAGTTGGCTGCGTTCGGTCGCGGCGCTGAGCTTTAGGACGGTTTTGGCTTAGATGGTCCCAGCGGCGGCGTTCAGAGGGACCGGATTCCGCGGGGGCTGCGTGGAAGACGGGCGGCAGCTGGACGTCGCGCTCCGTGGGACCGCCTGGCCGAAGAAAGAAGTACAGCTCCTCTTCCGCCGCGTTCGCGGGGCGAGTCGTAGGGCTGCTGCTCGCTTTAGAGCCGGTTTGAGTTTTGTGTTATGCGACGTTTTAATGGAGTACTGTTTCTATGAACATGGCAGACTTTTTAAAAATTGCCTTTGAGCCGACCGAGTCTTGGATGGGGACGCTACTTGACTGCGATAAATAAAATGTTACGGGGTCCGGCCGTTATCCGTGCCTATTGCTTCACGGCTTCCTACCAGTAGTGTTCAGATACCTCCCTTCCCAACACACGCACGCACGTCTGTGCGGGCATTGCTACGAACCGGTGCTGGAGTTTCGCTTCTGCGGCTTCCTTCCAGTCACTCACCCGACTTCTTTTGGAAATCTCCGGAGCCGGTGGGTGGATTTCCCCCTGTGGCAAGACAACCCCTTCCCTTTGAAGCCCGCTGGCGCGCGCCCCTTCCCCTCTCATCGGCCTCGCGCGGGCGACTGACTGCGGCCCGCCTCGAGCGAAGCCCGCCCCCGCCGCAGCGCCCCGCGCCCCGCCCGCGTG